GTGCGAGCGAGTAGTTAGAGTCATGCCCCAGCCACTCTTTACCCTCGGGAAGGACCCCGGTACCCACTAAATAGGAGGATGGGTGGGCCCCAAAGCCGGTCTTGACACAGAGGCTGGAGGAGAAATCCTTTGCCCCTTCTGGAGATCAAACTCCAGTCATCCAGTCTGTAGCCAGTCACTATATTGACTGAGCTATGCTGGATAAAATTCTAAAGTTTCAGCCCCTGCAGCCTCTAGACTACACAGAACAAATATGTGGGCTGTGGGTTGAGAACCTCTGTGTTAGAATTTTTGAAGGTTGAGCATGAGTGATTTTGCTATTAGATTACAGAATTCTATGAAAAATACATCCAGTACTTGAAGACTCAAGGGATACAGCATCAATACTTTGGGCAGTTTTAAAGGTCTAGAAAACATATCACCTGTAATTCTGCACGAGTTTCTACTAAACTTCCTTAGCTACACAGAAGTACTCATTTTAAATTACAGATAATCCTTGCTTATTTGGACATTAAAGTTGTAAAATGTCTAACTTAAACTCACATGAATATGAAACCTACAAAGAACACAACACAAGAACTTACTGTACTGTTTATTGGAGGGATAGTGATCTTCTGAAATATCACAACCTAACATTAAAAATAAATAAAAAAAACTGTGCCAAAAGAGAAAACATAAGACTGCCTGACACACTGCCCAGCAGATCAGTGAACAACTTTTTGTACTGTACTAAATGTGACAGTATACGGTTAACAGGCATCATCAGCTAATAACTCTACAGAAAGCTGACATGTGAGGCATAAAAACAAAGGAAACAACATTTAATGTCATTAAACAGGAACCAATGAAATTTAAGAGAAAAAACACACAATGCAGTTCATCACAGAGAAAAATTGTATATGTAATCAATCTCTCAAAACCGCTAAACATACTGTATACAATCTCAATACCTGTCAGTTAGATTACCTGTTATGCATGTTTAAAAACACAGGAAACTGAAGTAGTGGTGAAGTCAGGCAAGCATGGAGACATCTGTTATACTGCATGTCTGACTGACCTTAATGTTCACATATTGCAGGAAATATAAATGTGTTGCAAAGGTAATTTTACTGCAGATATCACACTAAATAAACAACTCACCATATTTACTAGTATACCCCATGCACACATTTTAAAATTTACCTGTAAAATGGGGTATGTGGCTTATGCCAGCATGAATCATTGTGTACCTAACTGTATCTCTTTACCTGCATCTTGACCATTTCAAGCTTCAGCTATTTGAAAAATGAGTACAAAGGGTATGAGATTATGGCCTTTCACAGTGAGTGAAATACTGAAGATAGTTTGAGTGGCTGAGGAAATCAGAAATCGGGCTGCCGGGAGAAGATTCAACATCAGTAAGACGTATACGAGGTGCGATCGGAAAGTTTCAAGACTGTGTCAATAGAGGGCGAACCGTATGTAGTACGAGCTTCTGCCGCTAGGGGGTGCGGCCTACATTCATAGTGAATCAGTGTGGCAGCCGGCATCATCGAATTAGCATTTGTTTCTTAGTTACGGGCGTTTTGGTAGTGCATTACACCGACCCTCCTGCGATTTCGGAATGGCGGATTTTCATGAACAAATCAAATTTTGCCAAAGACTCGCCAAAACGGCTACGGAAACCTATGAAATGCTAAAGCAAGCATTTGGGGAGTCCGCAATGGGTCGTGCACAAACATTTGTGTGGCATTCACGTTTTAAAAATGGCCGAACCTCTGGCGATGATGACGAGCGTTCTGGACGACCATCTCCGAGCACAACGCCCGAAAATGTTACGAAGAGTCGGCAGGCCATTCACGAAGATCGACGTCGTACCATCAACGACTTGTGCGACATTGTTGGGATAGGCTATGGGACCGGTCAGCTGATTCTAAAGGAAGAACTCCACATGCGAAACCAAGGCTCCTGTCTGAGGACCAGAAGCAGAATCGACTTCTCGTTAGTCAGGAGCTCAAAGATCTTGCAAGAACCGACCCCAACTTCCTTCCTAAGCTCCGTGTGACTTCTTCCTCTTCCCAAAGATGAAAATTCAGCTAAAGGGAAGGAGATGTGAGACGATAGAAGAGATTCAGGCAGAATCGCAGATGGTGCTTGACAGGCTGACAAAGAAAGATTTCCAGGGATGCTTCCGTGACTGGAGGAAGAATGACCTTCTAATGGAAACTAAAAGTAATTGAAGAACCTTCAAAGGATCCAAACTGAAGTCTGAGGTAATCAAAGAGGAGCCAGTGAGCTTTATTTGCAAGAAGCAGCAATTTGGATATGCTGTATCAATGGAAATGTGCCAGATGAAAGCGCTGGAACTAGCTAGGGCCAAGCAAGTAACAAATTTTAAGGCAAGTAAAGGGTGGGTGGTGAGGTGTTTTGCTCATAATAATTTAACCATAACAATACAGACCACAGATCACGCGGCCAGCCACATATAAAGAAAACATTACAAACTTTTTAACATAATTTGTTACTTCCTCAAAAAAATAGGGTGCATGGCTTACACGAGTGCATGGGGTACATAAGTAAATATGGTATTTTTCTTTGTATTTTGTTAAATAAAGCTGTAGCTTTTAATAAGCACTACATCTTCTTATGTATAAACTTTTTGTGTAATGAGCCACTTTTAAAATACTTGAAGTCTGATTTGAGTTTCATGTGAAGCACAGATTATAATGGAACAATATTAAAAATAAAAATCAAGCCTGCCTGAAAGGGTTCAATGTAACTCCAATCCAGAATGTAATCAAAATACATTCACTAGTCTCAAACATGACATGGATGGACAGAGTCAACATTCTCACATGGATTTATCTTACACACTGTATGCAGATAATATGTAATAATGTTTGAACAGTTAGGGTTTCAACAGCAATGTCAATGAATTTGCATTCAACATTAAAATGTCCTTTGCTTTATTACTGGGCCATCAAGTGTGTCTTGTATATAGTACATACAGTATAAATGATAAATAATCATCCTCTAACTACTGATTAACTACAATACATACCAGAGGAATGTCATCTTCAATGTCTTCTTCAACCTTAATCTTAGTGGCAGTCTCTGACTTGAAGTTTACAGAAGACTGATCTCCTGATTCATTTACAGAATGCACGAGCCTCTCATTGTGGTTCACAGGTTCCTCCTTTATCCATGCCATAGGCTGTGACGGCACATATTGATGCTGGTCTTCTTCCTCATATTCCTCCACCTTAATCTTTACTACTTTTTCAGTCTTCTCCTTTTTCTCTCGATGTTTGTCACCCTCCTTTAATTTAACTACGAACAGAAAATTAATTCAAACTACTGCAAATGGGGAAGTGATGTATAAATTGCACAATACAAAATGTTATTTTTTAAAAAAAGTTGAAATAACATTAACCAACATTCTGCATGATTATGCTCCCAACACCATTAAACAATTTCATTCTTAGTTACCTGAAGGCACTGTTTCAACTGCAGGATTATGTAATGTCTTGTGTGATACTGAATAATTAATAAAAGTTTTAAAGGTGGCAATTATGCTTTATGTCAAAATACTATCTCAAAATTTGCCAGAGTAAAACAAAGAAAAAAGTTGACAGTGGAACCACGGTTCCGGATAATCTGACGTAAATACGTCTCTGTAATGTAATGAAATGTAATGTAATAATTCTTATATAAGACAAGTACTTGTAATATTCTAAAACGTTTTTACCAGCACAAAATTATCTAGTCTACTGTCACTTCTACAAGCGATTCACAGCTCAGCTCTTTCTGCAATAACGAAAGCGGATTTTTGACGGCAGTAATGTAACACAACATTGCCGAGTATACAGATAATGCAACAATTAGTTTCATAGGTAACATAACAATGCAACCAGGAGTTCATATAAAAGCCGACCATTGTCGTCGGTCCATATTTACACACTGTTGATATGGATCTTACACAACTTCGTTACACATCTTCCTTACACTTTTCTGCCGAATGACCCTTCCGTATAGACATATTTAAGTCAAAAAAGAGTCAGCTTAAACAGCCAATATCCCAGCCAAGATTTAAATCAGGTGACTACTGAATACAAGGCTAGAACATTTCCACTATGCTGGCCTATTTGGTACCCCTGCAACACATATAAACTTCCTCTTCATCCAACATTTTCACATCATGTGGGACATCACACAACCAAACCTCTCCAAATGTGTTTTCCCATAACACAACCCACCTTCTTTTTCCTTCTGTGTATCTTTCCTAGCTTGTTCTCAACTTGATCTTGGGCATTTTACTACTTTCTGCTCAAAACTTTTTACACTCTCTCTCTCTCTCTCCATTAATTTTTAAAGCATGTCCATATCATCCTATTGTTATTTTTTATATTAGTTTTCCTTCAATCAAATTAATTTTTTCTTCTTCTTACACATTTGTCTAAATTCACATTTAATATGAATCTTTACACACTGGAATAACCCTAGGAAATTTCTTCTTCAAAGTGCTTCCATTCAGTTCCCATATAACTATGTGGTGGTAGGCATAGTCCATCATTTGTAGCAACCTGCTCTCTTGACTTTTTGTTACTGCTACACACATATAATATAGATCTTAACCCTTTGCGGTATCTGTCAGACTGAGTCTGACATTTAAATATCCAAGTTCCGGTCTGATGTCAGACTGAGTCAGCCATGTATTTTACGCATTTTTTACGTTATCTGGAGTCAAACTAAGGCTGGCAAACAGTGTCAGCATATTATTCAAGCCGTCTTCTTTGCACTATTTCTATCCTAGTTTTCCTGGTAAGACTTTGTGTACCTTGTAATAGTGAAAGGATGAAGGAGAGAAAAGTTGTCTTATTCTAACACGTGTCTAAAGGAAGCCAGGAATCAACACCAATTGTTTTGCCATACATCATACAGTGAAGTAATACCATCGGGTGTGTTGCTTTTATATTTACTTAGAATAGAAGTATTTTATATCTGATAAAGATATAAAACAAATATCCAATCTTCCTAGTAGGAAATTATATATTTTTAATTACTTTTGACACACAGAGCAATCCATAACTCACATATACATATTCATTCATCTTATCAAGCATTCTTTATGTGTAATGACTTCATCGTTTATACTTCATGTTCTGTTTCACTTTCCTGGTGTTGAATTTGGTCTTGAACTTTCGAAAACAATTAGCACAAAAGGAAGCACAGCTCTGAGAATATGAAATCCAATGCTTATACATCGCATATCTGCATGCGATAAGAGATGTTTAGATGTCACCAAAGTCATATCTACCGACTTGGACTTGCTTTATTCTCTACCGAATGACAGGAAGCAGAAAGGCACCACTTACCATCTCACTAGCGACAGTGGTACAGTCTGTGAAAAATATTTCACACGGTCAGCATTCAAACAAAAGGAACTGTGGTCCTCTCAGAACACATTCTCACCATATACAGCAAAGTTCCTTCCATTTAATGCAAGTTATAAAAGAAAATTGAACCAGTTCACAATAGAAGTTGAATTTATACAGCTTAGTGGTATTTAAATAGACCATGATACCTAGACAGGACATTTCAGGAAAATGGATCGGCAGACGGTCCAATGCCTTGGCCTCCACGTTCAGAAGACATAACACCACTGGATTTTTTCCTGTGGGGTTATGTCAAGAACAATGTGTTCCGAACACCAGTTAATGGACTTGTTGACCTGAAGACCCGTATCAGGAATGTGATCTCGGCTATTCCAGCGGACATGATCCACAGAACATGGCAAGAGCTCGAATATCGTCTGTACATTCTCCATGCTACCAAGGGAGCCCACATTGAGGTCTACTGAGGTCAGTGAAAAACTTCCAGGGTTTCACTGTAAACTGCCGCAAACCGCATGTGGGTAGCTCAATTTGTTTGCGTGCCAAAATTTTTCAAAACCCTGAAGGGACTTTGTGGGAACACTGTACTTGTAGAGACGACTATTTGAATTCTGAACAGTTTATCTTTTACCAGTACACGACTTTCTTGGAAAGGATTAACTCATTCTAAATAACACTTTAAAACCTCTGTTAACCAACGCTTGATTATCCGACTCACGCATTAACCGACCTAATTTCAATCAGATCAGTTGCGATTGGTTTCTACAGTCCCGCCAATGTGTGTTTTCAGTCCACATGGAGACGCCATGTTGCGTACATCATGTAGTGCAAATCTGTGCATTAGTGTGCATATTTTGTTGTATTACTGTACTGTAATGTGATAAACTAATGAAATGGCTTCTTACAAGGGTGCTGAGATGAAGAAGGGTGGCAAGGTCAAAAGAAAATGTGTTGTGCTTTTGACAGCTGATAAATTGTAGATTACTGAGAAGATAATCTGGTGTCATGACAGCTAAGCCACCAGCTGACCATGACATCTGTGTAACTACAGGTAAAGGATATAAAGAATAAGGAGTCTATAAGAAAATTTGCCATGAAATTCAATGTTGATATAAGCGCAGGGAAGAGGGAAGACAAGAGGGAAAACGCATCTCAGAAAACATTAAAAATACCAGCTTCAGTGACTTTAGATGAAGCAGTTTACAAGTGGTATGCTCAACAGTGATCAAGTGGTGTGGCTGTGTGAGGTGTTGAAATTCAAGCTGCCGCTGAACACTTGGCCAAGCACCTAAAAATTGAAAACTTCAGCGCCAAGTAGTGGATGGCTCTGGCAATTTAGAAAGAAATATGGCATGAGAAACGAGTGAATTTATGATGAAGCATTTGTGCTGACACTGGAAACATCGAACGTTTCTGGCAAAAACTGAAAGAAATTAAGAAAACTTCTGGTCCGATGTTAAGTAAATTGTACACTGCTGATGAGATAGGCCTTTCTTATTTTTCTCTCCCTGAAAACACTCAGGTGGGCACAACTTCAGGGCGAAAACTACGCAAAGAAAGAATTTCAGCCCTTCCATGTAGCAATGGAGATGGAAACCATCGACTTAAACCAGTGATTGTAGGAAAGTTCAAGCACCAACGTGTAATAAAAGACATTACGCATAAGATGTCTGTTCAATACTAATAATAGTAATAATAATATGTGGCATAACAGCCCTGTGAGAGCCAAAGCTGACTAGCTGGCTGCTGGCCTCACGTTCACATGCCTAAGCAGAGGTGAACGATCATCCAACCAGATATAGGGTGACGTGTGGTCAGCACGACGAACCCCCAGCCATTGCTAGTTTTCATGACCGGATTATGCTACCCATTGCAGCTCCCCAATTTCCTCATGATGCTGGGTTGGCACTGGTCCCATACACCGGTCAAAAATCTCATGTGAAATTTCTTTCCCCCAAGACTCGAACCAGCATGCATTCCATATTCTACAATTCAAAAATGCTTGGTTCACACAAGAAATAGCCAGTAACTGGTTTTTCAAGCATTTAGAGCCTGAAATTCATCGCTATCAGATTGAGGTCCTGAAAATAGCTCCTGGGGATGTCAAAGCTATTATACTTCTTGATAATGCTCCATCACATTTAGACATGTGCAAGCTTTCTAGCAAAGATGGCAAAGTCAAGTGCTTGCATTACCTCCAAACACAACCTCCTTAATTCAGCCCATGGATCAAGGCAGTATTCTGGCAACAAAAGAGATGGTATAGGAGAAAATATTTAGATGAAGTTATGGTGGTTATTGAGGATAATGACGATAAGGTTGAGGATGCCAGAGGAAAAAGAACTTTGCAAAATATAAACATTTTTAACATTAAGTCCACAATCTTCAACTGGGGAGATGGTTTTAAAGAGCTGAAAGTTTCAGTCCTAGCAAATTGTTGGAAAAAAATTCTCACAGATGCTGAACCAGTATGAAGGATTTGAGCTATCAGACTTTCATGATTTTAATAAATGATGTGGAAGACTGGCTGGAAGTTGATGAGGGCGATCCTGGTTATGAGAATTTAAGCGAAGAGCAAATTTCTGAGAATGTTTTTGCTACAGAAGCTGATGATGAAGGAGAAAAGCAAAAGCCTGCAAAACTATCAGCTGTTGACGGTATCATACAGTTCATAGATCTAACCTCAGACCCAGGTTTTGCTGATTATTATGAATACTTCTGGACATTTAAAGAATTGGTTATTTGCAGACACAGACAAAAAAAACAACCCAGCTGAAAATACACAGCTTCTTCAAACCTGTCAGTTCCCATAGAAGCTGAACCCCTATTCCTTCTTGTTCAGAACAACATAGCAAGCAAATCAACTAACATCAGCAGAATCACCACTTCATGTGATGAACAGCGACTCGGAATAACTGATAAATTCACTATTTTAATACGGGAAATTCCTCAAACAGCACTTACAAGTGGCTCTTTTGCTGTCGACTTATGCATGCAAAACGCCTGCATCATCCAAGGAAACTCTATATTGCATCTCTGTATATTTCAGAATTTATAATAATGATTTACATGTTTTTGTTTCAACTTTGCTAATTATGTCTTTGTCTTCTACTTATTTTATTAAATCCATGATCACATTCCCCTTCCCCTTGCTCATATCCAACCTATAGTTCTCCCCATATAGGTCAGTTAAATGAGGTTTTACTGTATCTGTTATTGTGAAATACTGTTGTACTGACACTCTGTTACATTCACATTCATTATACTAATGTTTTACTTGTATATGTGTGTACAGTGTAACTTAAAAAGCACAAATATAAGGGTGTGCATGCTTGAAATGATGCTAAGCAGACCAAAAAAAGGAAGAGAAATGTTTATTATTTATATGAAATGGCAGACATGTGTCTCTTATAAGGGCATACAAATGGCAACAGTCAGGAAGCAAAGCACACAAGGATATATTTCAAACAATGTATGGAATTTCCACTATGGGTGCACAGAATAAGCAACAAAGTATGAAGACACATAGGAACTTCAGACAGCAAAAGACTGACTCAGATAATTTCTCAGAAAGGAAAAAAGAAGGCTAAAAGGGGGTTTTCCCAGACCCATGTTTATACATACTGTGTTCTTTCAATGTGCAGAACTCATATTTACACCTGTACTTGGTGTATCGCTTCAAGATTATGGCAATTACACACAGACAACTTTACTTTTCCCAAATACATCGTTGTCTTACTGGCCTTCAACATACCTTTGTCTTTGGAGTCCCTGTCTTTTGATTTGTCCTTGTGCTTCCGATCTGAACTAGAACTATTGTGCTTGTCCTTGTTAGAGCTAGACCCATGCTTCTCCTTATCCCGAACTGAACTTGAAATGCTGTGCTTGTCCTTGCTACTAGAAGAGCTGGAACTGTGCTTGTGGCTCGAACTGCTGCCATGTTTGTCCTTATCCTTATTCAAAATGCTACTGCTATGTTTCTCCTTACTGCAACTCACAAAGAAAAAAAGACTTCCTTGCAGTTCAATTTACAACAATCCTGATTTTAATATACTGTCACTCCACATTTTGAATGGTATCCATTCTGTGACAGAAAAGATAAAATTACCATGTGAATGTTAAAATAATGTTATGTATGGATAATTCTAGTAAATCTGTATAAAATCTTGAAATAATTTAGAAATTTCTTTATTAATTCTTATGTAAATATTCTGAGCTGACAAAATATAACAGCATATCAACAGTTAACTCAAATAATACTTACTAATCCAATGTAACCAACCTGTATAAAATTTATATAGCAACATTTCTGGCAAACCAGCTGTACTGATACACAGCAAAAATCCTGATTTGAAGACTGTCTAATCTCCAGAACAGATTTTCAGCTCTTATTTACATAGCATATCAACCAAACACATTTAAATGGAAAAAAAATTCTTTCAGATAAACTTACATATATTTTATTTACTCTACCACTACTACACTACAATTCTTCAATACATTATAATTCTTAATTTTGCCAGTGCCAATATAATTTAAATAAGGTATGGATTACTGTGATTGTATGTACGTATGTATCCCATTTCCATACGGAATGAAAGGCAACATGGCTGCCAATGGAGCTACTATAGTACCCACTCTGAATAGACTCATGTCTGAAGTGTTTCTGGGCAATGTGCACCTAATTTCCATCTCACTCTTTTATCCTAGTGGCAGGAGAAACCACAGGAGCAGGTGTGGCATTCCCCCTTCAGTGCCATCAGAACGGAGGAAGTCATGCTCACACAACTCTGGACTGGTCACATCACATACTTGTTCCACTGCAAGGGGACTGGTGCCCAATTCTACCCACTGTGATATAGCCCTTACCATTTTACACATTCTGTAGGTTAACGCCTACATTATCACAAATACCATCTTATACTCCACCTTCAGGGAACGCCATGTAACATGCATGGACAAGGCTGACATTTGTAAATAGAATAAAGATCACCAAGGCAATAAAATAAACACTGTTTAGGTAATTTTAGTTTTAAGTCTCCATATTTCTTTTGGCCAAGCCAAAAATATCAGTCATAGAGCATCTCATTTGATTAATTCTGCCTTCTTACCTCCAATTTTACTGGCAGGCCTGTTAACAGCTAGGCACATTATTACTTTCTAAGCTACTACTTTCATTTTCATAACTTTGTATTTTAGCAGCAATCCCACTGACAGCTGTTTATATGGCCTGACTTTACTGTTGTCACTGTTACTTTTGGTATTATTATTACATTTTAGCAGGATCCTGGTGGAATATGATCAATTTTACCATGCTATTTTTAATCTTTATTCAAATGACATGCCTCTAACGATCTAGTTTCCTTTCTGTTATACTTATATTTCAACATACGACCACGGTTGGAAGTGACACAATTTAGCAGACTGAGGCACAGTTTTTTCTGCATAAATGCAGTAACTATGTGCCTTTAACCCAGTGACAATAACTAACTAGATGGCTTACCGAACCCGAAGCGTCATCACCGAATTAACCAAAGCCCTCCACTGGACCCTGTCCTGGGCCAACAGAATCCAGTCTCCTTCAACTCCTATGTCCCATAGATCCCACCTGACATTATCCTCCCATCTATGCCTAGGTCTCCCCAGCAGTCTCTTCCCCTCAGGCTTCCCAACCAATACCTGATGAACACCTGTTGTCCCATTCATGCACGCTACATGCCCCACCCATCTCATTCTTCTTGACTTAAATCACCCTGACAATACTGGGGGAGGAGTATAAATTGTTTAGTTCGTCATTATCGTCAGTAACAACAACTCAACAAAATAAAACTAAATTTTGAACCTGAAGTTGGTAACTGCAATGTTTACTGAAACAGTAGAATTTCAACAAATGACATGTTCAAACCCAAAAACTGATCTCATGCATTATACTCTAATGACACAAACAACACATCAAACAACTGAAAATTAATACAATTAATTCTAGAAATCAATCAGACTTTTTATAACCCTTGTCACATCAAGTTCTAATGAACAGGTATAAACCAACTAGGCAACAAATGAGGTAAGGATTGATACACCTCCCTTTTGAACTGGGACAGCATACTCAATTATACAAAAGGAAGATTAGTTAAGCTCAGCATTCAGACATTAGCTGTGAATCACAAACATATAAATGTATCTATATGGAGCATTTGTTTGTGTGACATATGCATACTTCACGCAGTACAGTAGGTATTTCTGGTACAGTTTAACTTTGTCAGTACTGTGCTTGCAATTGAGTTAAACAGTGTTAACAGTTGTCAGTAAAAGTACTGGTTCTCTTCCCTTTGAGCTTATCCATGTAAGTTTAATTTAGTGAAAACAAAATTTGTAAAAATTTATTTTACCCTTTTGATTTTTCTTATGAATTTCCTTTTTGGGAAGGGCTCCATAATACTCTACAATTACCACATTGTCATTACACCACAATTTGAAAGGATGATTTTCCCCTTTCCCTCTATCCTGGACACCTCTGTAAGTTGGACACATTATCGTGGAACTGCAAGTGTCCAAGTTAGAGAGGTTTTACTGTACTAAGAATGGAGTACATTTGTACTATCCCAGCTGAAAACAACATAAACCTGAAACAGCTTCTCTTTCCTCTTGTTACTTTAAATTGTAACCTTCCTTAACCCATAAGCTTTATCTGCGTAAGGTATAAGGACTTACTAACCATCTTGGACTCTATTTGATCAACAACAAAAAAGAATCCACTTCTGAGGTGAAAGCATCACACAGATTCTGCTAGCCCTGACCTTAGTAAGAATGATGGCTGGCAAAGGAACCTACAGCTTAACATGGAGCTACCGAAGGCTGTTTTCAAAAAGTTTTAAATTGCCTTCAAGCACACCCAAGATTATTACCCAGAGCTTGAACTCTTGTGCTCCTTGTCTTTGCTGGATGAACTACTTGTGTGCTCTCGAACCTTGTCCTTTTTTTCATCTTTATGCTTCTTCTCTTTCTCTCTCTCTTTATCCTTACTGCTACTACTGCTGCTGTGATGTTTGTCCTTTTCCTGAAACAAGTAAGCTGCACAATGAAGTTACAAACAAAAATAAAGGACAATAAAACAAGTTAGGATATGTATGAATCACATAAAATGTTTAGTGTGTTTGCTTGTTACTGCCTCTAGATTTTCAATTCATGAATGCTTTCTTCTGGTAGCTTAAACTGTTATGGGATGCTGTTTCTTCCAACAAACCATCTAGCAATCTTCCTGGCTTAGCAATGTTGCCACAAGTTCACCGAATATGACTGCAAAGTCACTTCAATGTACAGGATTGCATGTAGATTTTCACATAAAGCACCCAAATGTGGTGACAAAAATTTACCCCCTCCCCCCCCAATATCAAACTTAATGAAAACCAGTAGTTAAGTTCCACACACATACACACGCAGACAGGTAGACACAACAACAGTAAAAAGTGAAATTTTGCAACTTCATTGATAATGCACCTATAATGAAAAAAGGGGAGAATACTGACTTACAAGACAGGAGAAATATGCTACAACAGAAAAACAAAAACAACATGACACATTAACACCAATACAACACATGACTCATGGTTATGTAACCAGACTGTACTACAAAGACCATTGAAAGAAGACATTAGATGACTAAGATGAAAAACTACATTGATTACAAATATTTTATGCAACACTTCATAAGGAGTCATCCATTGGTTTTAGGAAATGTCACATACATACTAAATCACAGGCCCCAAGTGGTTTCAAATAATGACTCATGAAAACCAGATAGTATCTCATATAATCTGCATACTACAAAACTGTCATCTCTCATTTCATGAGTTTAAAGGCTCTCATATCATGTAGAAGGAAAACACAGAACAAAAATTACCATAAAATTTTTAGAATTGTAGAGGTCTTGTCACACAAAGTTATTTTCTATGTAGTGAGATAAGAAGTGCTGTTACAGAAAAGTACTCTGTGCAATACTTATCAGAATCAAATATGTGACCAAAACGAGATCAAAGTTTATGAAGCTTAACACGAAACACCAAAATGTGGAACTGACAGCTCTATCAGAAGTTAATATATGATAGTAACTTATGAAATAATAGACATTAATAAAAACTTTCACCATGGCCACTTTTAAATAAATAAAAGACAACATGGTGGAAGCAAAAATAATTTCCTTCTCATTTATCATTATTTCTACATTCGGCAAGTATCACATAAAAATTCTGCTAGGAGATTTCAATGTGAAAATTGGGGGAGAGGATATTTTCCAATAAACAATAGGTAACAGGAGTCTACATGAACTTAGTAATGACAACTGTAACCTTGCTACATCAAAAGACATAATTATAAAGAGTATAAAATTTCTACATAAATACACTTGGTCTTCTCAAGATGGCAGCACACATAATCTGATAGATCATGTTTTAGTAGACAATAAAAGGCAGACAAGTACAATTTATGTGAGATCATTCAGAGAAGCAGACTGTGACACTGACCGTTACCTGGTAGTGGCAAAAGCAAGGGAGAGGCTTTCAGTAAGTAGACGAACTAAGGAAAATTTCGACACAATGATCTGATCTGAAAAAATTAAAAAAGGGAGAGGTAAAGGAGCAATATAAAGCTGAAATTTTGAACAGGTTTCAAATTATAGGGACAGATAAAGATGATGAAAGCATGGATATCAAAAGGAAGGGGAAAATATCACAGACTAACAAAATTTCAGCCAAGGAGAAACTAGCATACTACAGTAGAAAGCAAAACAAATCATTGGTTTTGATGAAGAATGTTCAAAATTAATAAATTGAAGATAGCAAAAAGTTGTCAGTGGAACCAAGGTTCCGGAGAATTTGACGTAAATACGTCTATACGGAAAGGAAGTTTATATATTGGCTTTATTCTAAATATTTCCTTTATACATGCTTTACAATTGAGATAAGTTTGATTAAGACTTTGCTTAATCAACTTGAATTAGTTACGCTTAAGATGGGTCTGTGGTAGCTGAATGTAATGTAAAGTAATGTAATATAAGGTAAGGTAATGTAATGTAAGGTAAGGTAATGTGAGGTACGGTAATGTGAGGTAGGGTAATGTAATGTAAGGTAATGTAATGAAATGTTTCCTAGGTAACAATAATGCCGAGTAAACACGACGTTTCGTAGGTAACAATAATGCCGTGTAAACAGGTGACGTTTCGTAGGTAACAATAATGTCGAGTAAATAATTGACGTTTCCTAGGTAACAATAACAATTGAAGTTTCCTAGGTAACATAACAATGCAGTTACACTTTTTCGTTTCACTTTTTGCCGAATGACACTGACCCTAAAATACAGATGTATTTACGTCAAAAAACTATGTAACATGAGACGTGAAGCTAGTAAAACCTTTAAAAATAAGTAAAGGGAATATGCAAAAAGAAAATTATTAGCTTGAAACAAAGAGTAAGGACAAATACATCAGCGATCTGTACAGAGGCATAAATGGTTTTAAGAAAGGATATCAACCTCAGACTAATTTGCTGAAGGATGATAATGGCAACTTTCTGGCAAATTTAATCAAAATTCTGAACAGGTGGAAAAATTTCTTTAACCAGCTTTTAAGTGTTCTTGGGACTGATGATGTTACGACAGATTAAAATACATACGGCTGAACTGTTAGTGCCAGAACCTAGTTTAAATGAAGTTGAACTAGCCATTGAAGCGTTACAAATCTCCAGGTATTGATCAAATTCCAACAGAATGAATTAAAACAGGTGGCAAGAGGTTACATATGGAAATCCATAAACTTGTTAAGTTAATATGGGATAAGAAAAAGATGCCACAAAAAAGGAAGGAATCCATAATTATTCCTATTCATAAGAAGGGGGACAAGATTGAGTGTGGTAATTACTGAGAAATCTCTACTATCAACCTCAGACAAAATTTTATCAAACATTCTTCTGGCAACATTTACCCTGTACGTGAATGAAATTATTGCAGATCATCAGTGTGGGTTCAAATCTAACAGATCAACAACTGATCGGATCTTTTGCATCCATCAGATACTACAGAAAAAATGGGAGTTCAGTGGGACCATACATCAGTTATTAACAGATTCCAAAAAAGCCTAGATCTAGATGTAGATATTAGGATATCATGCAGCATCTATGCTACATTGTTCAAATTATTGATGGCATCATTAAATAAACCACAAAAATAAAGATGTCCCTGGTACTTAACTACACACTGCACCATGCCATGTGACCCCAAACTTCATTGTTTTAGCACTTCTACAAGAATAAGAGGTTCAGTTTATTATTCATACGTACTGCATTAATTTCAAAGGACAATCAAATATTAATCAAATAGTTTGATTCTATTCAAAAATTGGTGCCTAGATATTGGGGTTTGATTTCATGTCTTGAAAAAGACTGTAATTTGTGGGAAACTCAACATACCAACTTCAACAAATCAAAAGTATGATGATGACGATGATGTACCCTGTTGTTAGTACAGTACATGTGTGGGTCAAAATATAAGACTTATAAATCCTGTACAAACTGAAAATCACACAGCCTACTTTTACATGAGAATCAGTGAATCAGCTTAGTAACAAGGCATTCTATATGGGAAAAATTATTACTGGTTAAACAATGATGATGAAAACTTTTAATATGTGGTATGTACACAAATTATTTCATGACAAGAAAAGAATCATTTACAGACTTATCCAGGTATAATACACTACGAAATGGCCAGCAAAATCCTGTTTAATTAAAACAAGGCAGCATCAAATATCCAACAAACTTTACATCCCAATGCTCACACCAACTACATAATAATTGTAGGATTTGAGGTTTTCATGGTGGCGAGTCAAAAGATGGCTCACAGCCATCTACATAATACTTCATCAGAAAGAAAAATAACGCAATGAAATATAAAGGCATGAGTTGCAATTTAGCCTTAAGATAGAGCAACATTTAGAAAAAAACTTCAATTTTTACACATACCATTATAAGTATCTTCTATTACAATTTTTCACACCTTATAAATTAAATTAAATTAACATCTATTTTACCTTTCCAGTTGAGCTCTGCTTGTCTTTATCTCTATGCTTTTCTTTGTCTTTATGATCCTTATGTCTATCTTTATGTTTGTCTTTATCTCTGTGTTTATGTTCTGATTTGTGCTCCTTTTTAACATGCTGATCAGTATATCCATTAGAAATTCCATTCACAACCATGTGTCCATCTGTCATAAAAAGCAAAGAAAGCATGTGATTAAATCACAATGTATTTGTTTGAAAAACACATAATAGTCAAACTTCTTTACATTTTTGTGAACGCTAAGGCTAGTTTGAAGACGATTAGTATTCGCATTATTTTAAAAATTAGAACACACATTTTTCACTCGACATATAAGTACACGAAACTAAAAGTTAAAGGTCCCTGAACCTTCACTCACCTCCGACTGGTTGATTCCCGTCTGCACTCCTGTTTTCTTTTGATTTTTTTTCCTGAAACAGAGCCAAAGGTAAAAAAAATCCATCAAATGGGTTAGAGAGCCGAACGTCCGACAGTAATATCAATACACATGGGAGGTTATATACCTATGAACAGTCAAAGTATAAGCTCTGCGAAAACGCATGATATGAGTACATCATCACTACGTGGGACTTGGTCTCCAGACGCCATTTTGGGACTTAGAAAATTTTCAGCCGTTGTCTGTATCATTACATGGACATGTATAAACTCCTTTTATTATCAGCCTCAATATTTGCGCACAAATATTCATCCCTGTAAAATTACATAAATAGCTACATACCAAGTCCAATCCATCCCTATCAGCAAGAGTTTCGATGCTCATTTTCTCAGAATTTTACACTACTGCACATATACGCCAAACAAGAACAGGACTCTGCCTCGCCACAGCAAGACTCGAGGTGCTGCGAACGGCTAAATTCTAAGTGCCCAAATAGCCCAATGCGCATGCGCGAGACTACCTTGACAATGGGCATTGGCCTCATGATTGACGGAGAACATTAAAAGACAACTGCGTTTCATGTTGCAATATTTTCGGATTATTATAAGCAGTAGAACATAAACTTCACAAATTTGAAGGCGCAGGTGTTGCACTCCATTAATTCATTACAAATTTAACGCGCGGTGCAAAGATAAGTACTTGTGATATTCTAAAACGTTTTTACCAGCACAAAATTATCTAGTCTACTACGCACTTCTTCTACAAGCGATTCACAGCTCAGCTCTCCGAAATAACGAAAGCGGGTTGTTGACGGCAGTAATGTAACACAACAATGCAACAATTAGTTTCATAGATAACATAACAATGCACGCAGTTCATATAAAAGCTGACCATTGTTGTAGGTCCATATTTACACATTGACGTATTTACGTCAAAAATCTCATATTTTTGTGACTGAATAAACTTTCCACCACCTGTTCAATTGCAGGTCTAATTAAGGTTTATAGTTTTCGGTATTTGGGGTGCAAAGTTGACCTACCTCCTTGTGGTGCACCCTGGGCGTCTCTGACGGCAAAGTGGTCTACAAACTTGGCAAAACAAATGGTAAAAGATGAAATTCTATATACCTGCAATTTGACATAAATAAATAAAGTTTTCGGTATTTAAACTTGGAAGCTTCAGTTGCAACTGCGGCTTGTTACGAATGAGGAATGTCCCACTGCATTAAAAATAAAGCATTTCTTGCGGACACTCGCGTCTATGAATAGGTTCCACAAATTCCGTGTATTTCACATTTGTTTTGTTGATACTAGAATGGTGACGTTTCGTTGCAGTTTACTGTTAAATAACATTCCCCACATCGACCTTTATTCTCAAATAACAAAAATAACACACTACCTAAATCTGATACACTTGGAACGTGTTTTCTTGTTGACAGAGAGAATTTCCAAAAATTTTAGTAATACTATCCATTTCTGAAACACGTTCCTCAGATTGATTTTGATCACGTACAACTCAAATCGGTTTCATATATTAAAAAGTTTATTTTAGGATTGGTACAGAATGCAGAATTTCATATTTCAACGAACAATGGTCATTACCAAGTCACAATTCGTAATAATGTAGCAGTTGGTTGAAGGGTGTGGATAACAGCTCTTCAATGCCATCGCCGCGTTTCTTCCTCAGAAACAAGGAAAAGCATAACATTATCACTAAACCTGGATATTCTATAAAATGTCTTATTTCCGGAAAAACGTTAAAAACTGAAATATATATATTATACTCACAATTTTATATTTTCTTTTCTGCTTCTTCGCATATAAACTTTTTTTCAGTCGTCAAAAATTGCAAAGTTACTGAACCTCGTTCCTTCAACATCCTTAATTTAGTAACTAGCAGTTAAGAATACTTATGATGTAAATATAGCTAAGGAGATCTGAAAACCTTTTGAAATCACAGTGATATGTATTATGCATTTCTGTCTAATTTCCCACACCCTGCTAAATATTTCTGGTATGCTGATTGTATTTAATGTCTTTTATGATCCAACTTCCCTTTACAATATAATCACCCACATACTTGGCATAGTATACTTTTTATTTAATTGTAAGTGTTAAAGAATGCTCAAAAAATAAAAAATGGTAGCTTTGAAAAGTTCAAAGATGGGACCGTATCTGGAATCTAATATCAAAAGCCTTTAGATACACCAACTTTCAAAACAGTCTTTCAGTAGCTACACATTTCTTCTAGTATTTGTAGTTAATTTAAAAAATATCTAGCAGCCACTATATGTAACCTCCTGTAACATGATCTTCAGAGCCAATGCAATTTCTGCTACATCCTTCAAGTAACAGCCCTTAATCTGTTGAAAGGGGTAAAATTGCATGGAGCAATATCAGAATAACAGGGTAGTTTCTTTAAAGCAGTGACACTGCTGTGCGGGAACATTCAATACAATCTCCGGCTGCCCACATTTCAGGACATTTTGGGCCAAAAGCCTACTGTAGACAAGCAAACAGCTCTTGTACCATTCATTCCCTGTTCAGCATGCCACCCTAAAGAACAAAATCACTGTATGCAATGCTCCGTCAGTTGAAAAAGTCTACCACTCACCTCCAAAAGCCTATGCAGCTCGGTTATATACTGTCTGACTAGTTAGATACCCTGGCAGGGAAAAAGATTTTTGTTCTGGCCTCTACATCCAGACTAACTCTGCGGCCCACCCAGCCTCCTACCCATTAGGAATAGGGGGGCCTTTCTCTGGGGGTAAGGTGTGACTGCGGCAAGAAGATGGCCACTCTCCCTCAAGCACCTCCATGGCATGTAGCAGAATACCACCCACCTTCACCAAATGCTAATGTGTGGAAATATTCCTCAGCATGTCCATTCCCCAATTTTCTCAGAGTGCAAATAAAGTATCTCTTTTGGTGAAGAAAAGCCTGGCATTAATGATGCAATTTTCATTCATCTTCCCAGGCAAGTTCTATGATAATACAGTGAAACCACGACATAAAGCGGGTTTCGAGGGACAGCTTCAGCACACGCATTATGTATGAAATTGAAATTTATCTAATTTTGGAATCCCTGATATTATGTATATTTATCCAATGACTAAAATACATTACATTTAAAGTATATTTAAAACTTATGTTTCACCAGTGCTACTGTCACAGATCACACTAAATTACTCAATAGTCATGTAATGTAGTTTGTTGGAACTAATGACTGCATTTTTTCAGAACATACTGCTTAATATTAACCACATGCAGCAAATGATGATATACGAGTCTGTCATTCTAACCATGCCATCACTTCATTAATATTCTCTAGCACATTGCTCAATTTTGGTACCAACACTTCACAGGAATCGTCACCATTGTTTTCTGAGTTCATCAGTTGTCTTCCCATTTTTCACAGACACTGTGATATCCTCTTCACTAAGATGCTGTGCAACCAGAGTTTCCTCAGCTATCTTAATCCAAGCCACCAGGTCATCTGCTTCTAAATTAAAACTGAGTGCATTACATGCAGCAAGAAATGTTGCAATACAGTCTTATAATGCAACCAAAACATTTCATAGAAATTTGTAAAACATAAAACATATGTAATTGTATTGGGGGACATGATCACAGCTGCAGTATAATGAGGCGCGGTATATCGAGGTTCCACTGTATTGTATCAAGAGGACTTCCCACTTCTCTCCAAATCATACCCACATCTATACATAATATTACATTCACCTAACTGCCTGCAATGGGATGACCCTTCATCTATGTTTTATTAATAATGAGCCAAGTCAAAATCACTGCTATGGTATGCAGATGCCACATATACCAATGTGGACAATATCATTATATTAAATATATCTTGGACAATGTCCAACACAATTACAACATAACATTCTAAAGCATTTTAACTTTTTTTAACATTTCCTTTTCTAGAAACACCTAGTTTTAACATAGATGAAAGTGAAGGTAAAGATGCTGTACATTTAATAAATTACCAAGCCATGAAGACATATTCTTCTGCTAAATTAATCACCATACTATGTTAACATTTTTCAGGATACAGCATTCTTAGTCAATATAAGGGCGTTGTCTACTTCATTCTCAGGCACTTTATCCCCGGGAAAATTGTCCTCAGATAGGATAGCCCCATAGCTGGCCTACTCACCATACTGATGGAGCTAACCTGGATCTTGCAAGCTAACCAAAACAATGGAATATATGCATGTATAAGAGCGATGAACGAAAATAAAACGTGACAGAAAACTATATGTATATGAAGAAGCAACAAAATTCGAAAGAACCAACCCTTTAACTCAGACCAGTATATGCAACATATATCATACACAGTTTCCTAATCTTATATCCATGAGCACAAAGCAACATAAAGAGTGTGTCACTGTGACATAAGGGCAGTACTCTTGAACTTAATTTCTAGGAACAGGTGAAAGTGTCAAACAGTTATTTGGCTCATTTCCACCAAATATTACATCTATTTACTATGACTGCTTCACTATGTTGTTGTTTCTTGGCTCTACAACCCAGTTGTGGGTTTTTGCCACCCATTTTTTCAGAGGTTTCTTGGTCTTGAGTATGCATTAAGGAGTAGTGAGTGACCAGCCCACTGACTCTGCACAGTTTCTACTCAATCCTGATTTGACTGCTAGAGCCATGCAGCAGTTAATCAGGAGACTTGGGTGAGAAATGGCAGCTGAATTTTACTTACAAAACATCTCGTATCATGTTCATAAGGTTCTTTTACATGCCGTAAATCTATGACATGGAACCGCCAGCTTTACTTCCCCTATCGACCTAGACCGGAATTGAACCCGCAAACCTTGGATCCAATGGCGAGCACCACTAGTCCACTGAGGCAGACATTTTACAATGTATATAATTCAATTTAATTTAACTTTTGTACAGAATATCCATAAATACGAATATATAATATGGTTTGTACTCTTCACCAAATATAAATGAAATGACGCTGATTTTTTGAATATTGGCTAGGTTTAGCTGGCTCAGGATAAAGAGCTCTTGTAAATGGTACTGAACCTCTGGATTCCATAAAAGGCAGGAAATTTGACTGGCCAAGTATAATTTTCACTTTTCAAGGACTCTGCTTCATGGAGTTACTTTAGTTATGGTAGAATGAATCTACAGCTTAATATGGGCTAAAGAGCCCTGGTATTACATTCATAAAGTTTTACTTTCATCAGGAAAAAGGGAACAGAAAGCCATGATGAAATCCATACTTTTGGAAGAAGAAATCAACTGAAACTGTTGGGCAAACTATTCAGACATATAAGACAGGAAACGATCAACAGATGAACCAGGTTCTTAACTGTTTGATGATGACCTAGTAAAGTGAGGATGCATCAAGAAACCACAATTTAAAGAGTAACTGCAAGAGGAAAAAATATTAAAGAAAAAAGGATGCTGAAAACATTTTCACATCACCGACCTGAAATGTTCCTCAATTTTAATTTTTAAGTCAGCAGACAACCAAAATTGTTCTGTTTCAGCATTCATAAATTTGAAGATTTAAATGTGCATCAGCTCACTTCATTTGCCAATGCCTACTGGGTCGAGGACCCACCCATGATTTCCTTTCCTTTCCTTTCATTCATTCCCATCATTTTAGGGATTTAGAAATGCAAAAATAATTGAAATAAACAGCAATTATAAGCAGTTAGTCCTTTTTCAACTTTAAAGTCAAAGGTCAGAAAAGCATATAACAGCAGAAAATTAGGACGACAGCACCAAGAGGAACTGAAACAACTATCAAAGCAGTTGCTATTGGCCAAACAAAACGCGCAGGAAACATTTTTAAGGTCAATATTAAGAAATGAAGGTAAATGCTGGTCTGATTTCTACAAGTATGTAAAATGACGTAAAGGAAACGGAAAATATGCCGGCGATCAAGAATGGTAATGGACGGCTCATTACTGATTCGATAGAAAGAGCCAACTCCTTTAATTTCTATTATTCTTCGGTATTTAGCTGCGAGCGTAGCATCCCGCAGATACAATGCACTAACTCAGGCAAACCCTTCGCCATTAGTACTAAAATCATTACGAAAAGGCTAGCAGGGATAGGAAAAAGCAAATCAGTAGGGCCAGACACTGTTTCTGGTGAAATTCTAAAACTGGGTGGAGAAGCCAGGTGTTTGAGGTACCAGAGTGGAGTCAAACAATAATTCCTACCTCCCTCCCCTTCCGAAGCTCCACTAATTTTTGCATAATCATAACAGATTCACCAAAGGAACTAAACCTAACACTTTTCTACAAAACCTGTCACTGAATTCTGATTTTACATGGCATACCTTGCGCGATTATTGGACGTAACAATTAATAATGCCACTATACCAAGGGACTGGAAAAAAGGCATAGTGGTTCCAATTTACAAAGGAGGTGATCAATCATTGGTCACAAATTACAGACAGGTCAGTTTAACATCGGTGGTCTGCAAACAAATGGAACACGTTATAGTATCGTACCTGAGGAAAATCTGGGAGGAAAAAGATTGGTTATTCGAGGGTCAACATGGGTTCAGGCCGGGATATTCATGTGAAAGTCAAGTAATCATGGTTTGCCAGGACATTGCAGACACACGGGATAACGGAGGAAGGTTAGGCACGATTATAATACATTTTTCGAAGGCCTTCGATTTAGTTCCTCACGATCGGCTGCTTACGAAAATTAAGGCGTTGGGCGTGGATTCGAGGGTAGTCGCATGGGTAAGGGAATTCCTTTTGGGCCAAATGCAGAGAGTTAGAGTAGGAGGGCAATTATCAGAGGAAGTCAGAGTAATGTCAGGTGTACCGCAAGGGAGTGTATTGGGTCCACTTCTGTTCCTTGCATACGTAAATGATATTCGGAGGAACATTGAATCGACTATTAGACTTTTCACAGATGACTGCATAATATATAGGAAAATTATAAATAGTAAAGATATAGAAAAGATGCAGATGGATCTCAACAGTCTGGGGGAGTGGGGCGGTTGAAAGTGCCATGAAAATTAATCCAAGTAAAAGTAAGGCAGTTAGTTTCACGAGAAGTCGGGTGAAGGAACCACTGAACTATTCATTACGGGACCAAGTAATTCCGGAAGTGAGCAGTTGTAAATACTTGGGAATACTCTTAAGCAGCGATTTAAGCTGGGCTGATCAAGTATATTATATGGTGAAGAAAGCCTGGAAGGCACTTCATTTTACAATGCGTGTTCTCAAAAAGGGAAATAGTAACACTAAAAGTCTAGCCTACACATCACTAGTGCGTCCGATTCTGGAATATGGGGCAGCGTGCTGGGATCCTTACAGGGAGGGACAGATAAATGAGTTAGAACAGGTGCAAAAGAAAGCATGTAAATTTGCATATCATAGGAGCTATTCGAACTGGGAAACCCTGGCACAGCGTAGAAAGATAGCATGTATATGTGCTCTCTTCAAAGCGTATACAGGAGAATGGGCATGGAAAGCTATAGGTGACAGATTGCAAAGGCCATACTATCTGAGCAGGGTCGATCACATTCGGAAAATTAGGTGCAGAAAGCAAAGGACAGATATCAGAAAATATTCCTTTGTAAACAGGACCATTCAACTCTGGAACCAGCTACCTGCGGATGTTTTAGGGACTCTCTCCTGTAAACCAAGTGCTTTTAGGAAGAAGATTATAAAAGTGATAAATGAGGTGCAGTGAAGGGAATACATGGGTGGGTGAAGTGAAGTGAGGTGAAGGGAGGTAAATCGGGGTGAGGATGGGAAGGCTTCAAAAGTGTAGTGAAGTGAAGAGGTCCTGATGAAATGTGAGTGCATCAGTTCATGACGTATGTAATTCATTACTGTTACTGTCTTATGTCTAGTTGGTATTATTTTTTAAGTTATCTACTTTAGGTTATCTGTTGTATTTAAATACTTGTGCCTTATGGTTTTGTAATCTTATGAGTTGTTTTATTTTGAGTGTGGTGTGTTGTTTTGTTGTGTCTCATTGTTTTGTTGTATCTTATTGTTTTGTTGTGTCTTATTGTAGCCCCAGCCTCCTATCCAATGGGTACCGGGGTCCTTTCCCGGGGGTAAAGCCGGCCGGGGCATGATGCTGACCACTCATCCCCATCTAGTGCCGAGGTCAAGAATGAGGGGCTATACCTCCACTCCCCCCAGGCGCCTACATGGCATATAGTGGGACAGCTTATTGTAGCACCACTGCCACCAGGTATAAACCCATTTGCAGTTAATAATAAATAAATAAATGCTAATGCATCAGTGTTCACACACTTTACATGGTGCATCTATAAATAAGATCTATTTCATCAAACACATTTTATTCAGCATATTAAATAACTTCTTCCTGATATCAAGTAGCTCACCAGCATTCTACCTGAGCTCCATTCGTAATAGTCACATGCTGATAAAACCTGCACCAATTCTAAATGTCATTTATATTTGCAAACAAAACCTCATAATATCATTCTTGGTACTTATATTTGCACAATTTTTGTCAATGTTCTCCTAATATATTCATTATTAATGCACTTCTACCACAATATCACACAGGACAACTGTGTTTAACATTTTGGTGGCAGAGCCACCTACAGGCAGAATTATGTACCACAACTATTGTTGGCAGATACACCTACCAGCAGTTACTTTGTATAACCACATTCTCACTCAGCATAATGTTTTTATTGTACAGAGAAAGGAAATATGACACTACTGAAGTCTACAAATATTTTATTTGTATCACTAACAAGTAATAAATTAAAGAGTATCACTATTATAATAATCAACTTAAGAAAATTAAGTGAAACATATAATCTTTGTAGGAAATTGTCAAAAGTGTATAAAGGCATTACTGAATAAAGTTCAATGAGGCTACATCTTTTTTTCACAAGAGATAAATAAAACAAGGGGGAGGAAAAAGAAATTCCATTTAACACATTTAGTATTCAAAGTTTAACAGTATATTGGCAGTTATTTTAATATAATAAGGTATAGTTCAACTGAAAAATATTGGAATAAAAACTTAGTGAGACAACTACATGTATATGAGGAATGATCAGTTAAAAACTCAAAAGAAATACAGATGAGATTACAGACCAGAACCACATCAAGTGTCTGCCACTCTATCTTCCATCTTAACACTGTTTGTGGTGAAGTCTTTTCTCACTTATTTACACACAGTTTTTACCTCTAAGCTGCATCATTCACTTGAACACAGAAGAAAAGTTGGCTCATCATTCATCAGACTAAAGAAACATCATCTGCCAAGATCAACACATCAGTCATGTATGGCAGTTTGAAAATCCAATACTCTGAATTGCATGCTGTAAAAACAGTACCATACAGTCCAAACCACTAAAATTAAATTGGAAAGTTATGACATATTTGTAATATATCATAAAGCAGAACTGTAGTTCAGAGGCAGAAGGCAACTAAACTGTCAGTTACCCAGACAGTGGAAATATAAAGGGTGAAAATTAAAATACTGCATGTTGTGTTATGACTTGTGGCTTTCATGTCACTCAACACTTGGTATCTCAGTATTTTGTTTTCACAAATTCTCCCCATCACCTCCCACTGTTGGATCTGCAGATATGAGATGTTTTGACACACTGCTGTCACTGACATCCTCTGACACCTGCTTCTTGGTAGCTTCACGCCTGTCCCCACACTCAGATCTCTCTTCAGCACGGCGCCATGTCTTATCTTTTTGAAATGCAAACACCAAGTACAGAGCTGAAAAATAAAACTGATATATCACAACTAGCTGAGTGAACAACCTTGCACAAAACAGGTCTGTATCCAACATAAACAAGCAAGTCCTCTTTCTAGACCTGTTGGGGG